AGGGTGGAGATTGGAAAAATGGCAAGCAAACAGTAAAGTCTGGAAAAATGGTGAGGAAATTATTACTGGAGGCTGAAAAAGTGTCAATCTGTGTTTTATAATGGCAGAATGATTGGCCAAAAAGTTGCCTATGGTTACTTGGAAGATGGGGGGAAAATATTTAGAAAGTTTTTATTTGGCTATGGAGAGCTCTAGACAGAGTGTTGAAAGTATCAACACTTGTTGGGTGCTCCTAGTTGTGTAACCTCATAACAGGAAGAGAACTGTGAGCTAAAGAAAGAACTGGCAAAAGGAATTTAGAGAGAACAGAGAGGAGCAGGACTTAGTAGGTTAAAAAATAAAACTTTTTTTCAGCTTGAGGCTCTCTAGCCAGCATAGAGTTATTACAGGAATATGACCCAGAGATGCAGATCTTACCAAAGGTATAGCCATAACACACTTTATAAAGCCTTTTGAAAGAATTAGTGATGGCTAGTAGATTCCTAGACAAAAAGTCTTCTTGGAATCCTAAGAGCAATATCAACAGAAGCCTAATCCAAAATAGCATGACAAAATTTAGGGAAAGGTCTCAAAAACAATTGTGAGTATGTCATTTGGAGGATAGAGTCGACCATAATTAGATATATAGAAAACCCACAAAATTCTTATTTTTATTTATTTATTTATTTTTTTTTTTTAGGAGAGGGAGAGAGAGAATCTTAAGCAGGCTCCATGCCCAAAGTGGAGCTGGACACGGGCCTCGATCTCATGACCCTTGAGATCATTACCAGAGCTGATCTCAAAAGTCGGACACTAAACTGACTGAGCCACCCACAAAATTTTTTAATGAGTTGTACATGGGAAAATACCAGCAGCTTGAACTGCAAGGGACTGAAATATTTCATACTGCTAGTCAGCTCTGACATGCGCCACTAATTTAGTAATAGCCAAGGAAGCAGATGGACAAGGAAGGATGGTCCAGAGGGCAGAGCCAAGGAGCACAAAGATCCGTGGGCTAGGGAGCCACTCCCAGGGAGTAGAACCCAAGGCCCAAGCAAGTAAGATTCCTTCTTCCAGGCTGGAGGCCTGGACAGCATTTGTCTAGCGGGAGTCAGAATTGTTCTATTTAAGGAAGACTGTGCAACTTTCACACTTCTTGTTCTTGAATGGGAATGTCTGTTGAGGTTATCCTGCCTCTGTCTCATTGTACACTCTCAGAACATTAGTTGGAACTTTGGGCATTTCACCCAGAAAGAGGGTGTAAGTCAGGAGTGCGGATGGCTGAGATCAGAAACCTCTAACCCGGCTGTCCCGGGACACTCCTCCTGCTTTCTCCTTGTTGTCTGTCTCCTGTGTCTGCAGGGTCTTGTTTCTCTGCCTGACAAATGCCTGCCCTTCCTTCAAAGCTCCACTTTAGTCCCAGTGATTTTTTTTGGAGCCCTCCCTGGACCTCACACAGTTGCCCCTCTCCTGTCCTGCACCATTCTGTACCTGCCTCTAGTACAGGACTCCCACGGCGCTGTACCAGTTCTTGTCTTTCTAAAGGTGTGAATTACATCTTGTCGACTTTTTATTCACTGTCCTGCTCCTTGTAGGTTAGTAATATTTATACAGGAGGAGAAAGGGACGACCAGTCAGGAGACCTGAGTATTCGTCCCAGATTTATCACTGACCAGCTCCATGACTCCATGACTCCGTGACCAGCCACTGACCAGCTCCATGACTAAGATCTCTGGATCTTAGTTTTCAGCTGAATCAAAGTAGGAAGGGCCCTTTCGAACAGAAGACTAAGTAAGATTTATTGACAGCCATCCTCAGGGCATGGGGGCAAAAGCAGCAGACTAGGGGTAAGACAACTTTGGGTCTGTAGGAATCCACTCTGTGGATCCCTGGCTTGACCTTTGGATCAAGTTTCCCTAACTGTAAAGAGAGATGCTTGCATTGAATCTGGATTCCTCGCAGAGCAGAGGGGCCAAGACTGTTCCATGGGACATAGATCTGTCCTCCAGGGGGAAGTATGCATATGTGGGACTGGCAGACAACTGGAAAACACCGACCCAGTTGCTGTTTTTTTTCTGCCCTTGCTCCCTGCCCGAAGGGAATACATCTCTCCCATGCCAGCTTGACTTATTTAGCCCCAGGTTGGTTTTTTTCCCCTTCAGTTTATGACTTCACTGCAGCCAAAGTCTGGCTGGAAGACCTCTAGCAAATCTCAAGGATCTCTTGCTTCCCAGTTTTGCTCACTTATTTCTTTGCTTTGAGTTGAATGCACTCATCTGCAGTGTGTGCCTCCTCCCCTTTGCTTAGTCACAGCCTACTTGCTTTTGAAAATTCAGCTCAAATTCCGATTCTGTTCACTTCAGCTGAACTTTTTCCTTCCTTCCTTCCTTCCTTCCTTCCTTCCTTCCTTCCTTTCTTTCTTTCTTCTTTCTTTCTCTCTCTCTCTCTCTCTCTCTCTCTCTCTTTCTTTCTTTCTTTCTTTCTTTCTTTTTGTGAGAGCTCATTGTCTGCTTGGCTCCATTCTGGGCACTGGGGGTCCTGCCCAGTTTGAGTTGACTGGTTGCTCACAACTGACTGGTTGGCTGGGAGAGTCCAGACGCAAGCAGATCATTTAGTCATGGCGTGGGACATGCTGAAACAGAGGATGGCAGAGGGAGCTGGGGCAGTATAGAGCAGGGCCTCTGCCCATCTGGGCTGCTGGGGCAGGGGTGGGGGGTGGGCGATGGGAAACAGTCAGGAAATGCTCTATGGAAGGGATGATGCTTGAGTTGAGGGTTAGGGGAGGAGTTGTTTGTGAAGTGAAGAGATGTCCAGTGGTGTTCCATGGGCAGAGCCCCCTCCCTGCCATGTCTGCTGCCCTCCACCCATAGCAAGGGGAAATCTGCCTTTTCCTATTCTGGGCTGGCACCACTATTTCTAGTCTATTAATTCTGGATCCAGCTCCTTGAAAACTGTCCCTGTGGTGATCAGGAAGGTGAGAGGATGGCCATACAAGAAATAAGTAGCTGAAATGCACATAATTAGACTGAGGGGAAAGGACTTTGAGTGAAAAGGAAATGAGGTTTTGAATAAGATTGAGCTTCCAAGTACAACCAAAGGGTAGAAGCTGTAGGAGGTGGATTTCAGCTGACCACAAGAAAGAACCCTCTACTGGCCTTTCTTTTAGAAAGTGTACAACTTGTCTTGGCAAATTGTCATGGGAGAGGTTCAAATATGTATCCTCGCTTGCAAATCAGATTGTGGGAACTGATGAGAGTTCTTAGATAAGATGACCTTTAAGGTTCTTTCCAAGGGTGGGTTTTCTCATACTAGCTCCCCACCACCACTTCAGAAACCTGCTTATGACTTTCTGTACTCTCTCACCTGCTGACTGAACTACAAACTCCAAGGCAGAGCACACAGGACCCTCTCCACTCATACCCCTACTCAGTAGAGCAATACCAAACTATTTAGAGTTCTTGGGAGGCTCATGCTGTGTTCTGTGCTTAAGATGTCCTCCCTCTTCCTTTGCCTTCCCCATAATTTCCAATTGGTCAATTAACTCTCTCCCACTGTCTTTTTTTTTTTTTTTTTAAGATTTTATTTATTTATTTGACAGAGATCACAAGTAGGCAGAGAGGCAGGCAGAGAGAGGAAGGGAAGAAGGCTCCCTGCTGAGCAGAGAGCCCGATGTGGGGCTCGATCCCAGAACCCTGGGATCATGACCTGAGCCGAAAGCAGAGGCTTTAATCCACTGAGCCACTCAGGCGCCCCTCCCACTGTCTTTTTAAAATTAATTAATTTATTTTTTAATTTTTAAGGCGGGGAGGGGTAGAGGGAGAGGGAGAATCTCAAACAGGCTCCATGCCTAGTGCAGAGCCCGATGCCAGGCTCCATCTCACAACGCTGTGATCATGACCTAAGCTGAAGTCAAGAGTCAGACACTTAATCAGCTGAGCCACCCAGGCACCCCACTCTCCCACTGTGTCTTGATTGAAGGGTAATTGCAGTGGCTTTCCTCCTACTACCATTCAGAAGGAAGCTAGGCTTTCAGATCCTTCCTTTATTAGTTTCTGGTTTCAGCTAGGAGGAAGCCATGTAACAAAAGTCTAGCCAACTAGGCCTTCTCTCTAGTGCTTTGACTCCAAAGATATAAGGAATAGATAAAGGTGATCTGATGGCAGTGGGGATAGTGGGAACAGTATCCTGAACAGACTATTCCAGCAATAACATGGTTGCTGTGTCTTTTTTCCTACTTTTTAGCCTTCTAGAGTGCCCTCAGTACCAACATATTTCCAAGTCAATAAATATTTATAAAAAGAAATAATGAAGCACAAGGATAAAGGTCAAAGACTTGATTTAAAGCAAACTGCACGCAAGACTGGACTATTTAATGATTAGAACCAGAACTAGAGAGGAAAATAAAGATAGGACAATGGTCACATCACTAACAGAAATGAGGAAGTGTTAGTTTAGGGAGGACAGGGAGGAAAGATGGGGAATAACAGATTTTATTATAATATATATATTTAACTTTTTATTATGTTAGCTGATGCTAACACAGGTCGATAAATTAAGTCAACTGAAGGAGTGAAACGCAAAAATAAAATGGAAAGGACTTTAATATTAGCTCTTTCTTTTTATTTTATTTTTTAAATTTTATTTGAGAGAGAAAGCGAGCAAGAGTGCATGCGTGCACATGGGGGGGAGGGGCAGTGAGGGAAAGGGAGGGGCAGAGGGAGACAAAGGGGCAGACTCTCTGCTAAGCAGGGAGCCCAATGTAGAGCTTGATCCCAGAACCCTGGGATCATGACCTGAGCCAAAGGCAGACACTTAACGAACTGAGCCACCCAGGTGCCCCTTCTTCTGGGACTTCCGATGAACTAATCAATACATATATACCAAATAGTAAGCTAGAAGATTCATTTAGGCTGAAAGTAGATTCTAAGTATACCATGTATATATTTCAAAAACATGTTCTACTTGGATAGCAAACTTTATGAACCACACAGTAACTAAGATAATAAAAATTACGCAGAAACTCATGCCTATAAAGAGGCCTGTTTATTACTGATAACACTTCATTTGGCTAAAACCACAAGAAATCCACACACAAATACTTCAAGTGCAAATTCTCACAGGCAGTACTTATGATACACCCTGGTGTTTTCATCGGAAAAAAAAAGAGAAAATATTGACAAGAACAGGTAAAACAAGAGCACAATTTTGATCTACTGCTACACGGTCAGAAAAATAATTCATTCTTAATGGCATATATTTCATCTGGCATATTCAGTGATGTATACAAAGTTTATTTTTGCCTAAAACAAGAAGGCCTCACCATATATACAGATGCAGACTCTTGCTTGAGTGCCTCTTGTGAGATGTATGATGAATCATAACAGTGGACAAAAATATATCAAATCATATCAAATTAGCTGTGATTCACTTGGAAGGTAGCAGTAGGCGGCTCAAAGTGTCACCTATACCCAGTGATACTAAGTCTACATAGGTATGTTCTTAGCCTACTTGGCCAACACCTTGTTATGAGTGTAAAATACTAGGCATTACATATAATTTTCCAAACAGGAATATGTTCTGCTCTCTCAAAAGAAGCTGATTATTTAAGGGTATGCGTGCTTAATGAAGATGATTTATTATAAATTTCAGTAATGAGATTTGTTTAAAAAACTGAATCAGAAAATTAACATTTTTGATTGCTTCTTAAACTATTAGCTGCTTTAAGATACAATCCCCTAATTCCTACTGTCACTAACTAAGCATTCTATAACAGTACTATAATGGGGGTGGGGGAGGTTATGAAAAATAATAACACATGATCTCTGCTCTCAGGGAGCTGATAGTCAGATGCTCCTTCTAAGTCAAGGAATGCCAGTGAATGAATGAAAACAAAGTGGCCAACACTTCTGAAAATGAGGTTCAGTGATAATGTAACTGTTCCAGGTCAGTTTAATTTGGCAGTAATGCTTTCAAAGTTCAGCTTTTAAAATGCAGGGAACCGGCTAGATATGTTCTGTGTTTCTATTCCTCACGTTAAGGTCGGTGTGTGTACCTCCAGGCAGATGTGGCAATTGAGGTGGGGAGGGGAAGACCACTGAGCAGCCCTATGATCAACACGGATCTCCTTTCCAGCAGCACCTGGTTCCGTGAGGACTGGAGGAATCATTTTTACATTGAAACAGTTTTATTATGGGGAATGCAAAATTCAGCTTCCATTTTTATGATAGAACATGAAATTTCATGAGCAATAGACTGCTTCGGAGTTTGGGCTTGGGACCCTTCCCCCACATAGTTGTCATGTTCCTCCGCTTTAGGGTTATGCTGGTGGCAAACTTTGCGAAGCAGACTTTAGCATGCCATGTGCCCTTATCTTGGTCAGTTTACTCATTCTTATATGTCCGCTTTTTAAGGTATATAGTCTTTAACAAAGAGAAAAGACGGCTTAATGAACATAACAGTATGGTTAATATTTTAAAGTAGCCAGTGGTAAAAACTAACTTGGTTTTCAACTGGAACTAAAGAAAGTCATGCCATGTCAAGTCCTGCAATGAAAGGTTCTCTTCTTTCCACTTGGACTTCTTATGGTAAGATGCTCTGGGGGACAAAAGGGAAAAAAGATTTCCTAAAATTTTGTGCTTTGGATGCCCCAAGTACAAGGAGACCTGAAATAAAATGTGAGCTCAATTGACCATCCATTTCAATTGGTCGGACTCTTTCCTCATCACTTTCTAGAGCAATCTCAGAAAAACAAATGAATTATAAAAGGCCATAATAAATTAGCATATAGTAGTATCCAGACAGACCAAAAAAGGCTATGAAATAGATTTAAAATTACTTCTTACAATGTTTTAAATATTCTCACAATAGTAACAAAATAATCAAGTAAAAAAAAACATAGTTTATGAATCAGCTTAAAGCATTCTGGATGAATACATTTAAGGTTTTTTTTATCAGTGAGGTAATAGAGCAATAGCTTTTCACAGTAACAAAATGTAGGAGGGCACCTGGGGAAGGAGGGAGGTAGAGAGAAAAAGGCATAAAATAAATTTATCCAAGCGAAATTTGGATTTTTCAAGCATCATAAACATCAGTGGAAAACACTGGAAAGAAATACCAGTAGCAGCAGTTCATAGAACAATTTCTCCATTAAACTCCAGCTAATATCTCTGTTGTGTCCATTCCAGAAGCGACTTCCTTATGAAACAGGAGCCCTATTTCCTATATAAGGATATCCCCAAAGTTTCCAATCTCTTAGAATCTTTCTGTCTGCTGAAATTACTACATCCAAATAACAATAGAGTTGAAACAAAACCCTCAAATATCCTATAATGCTATACATTCTTCAAGATGAACAAAACGGTGTTCAAGTCTCACTTAATTCGCCAGGTTAAATTAAAAATAATATCTAAGCTGGTCTCTGTGCAATGAATGAAGACTGCGCTCATGCAACTACTACTCAACATATACAAAAACTCTCATGAGCTAAATTCTTCTAGTATATGTGCTGCCGAAGAGAGCACCTAAATTCTTCTAGATAGGGAGTGAAACTCAAATGTTACTTTCAGTACTCTCTATGACATCATCGTTGTTCCAACCTGAGGTAAAAAAAAAAGTATCGGACAGAACCTTTAAAAGACATTTAGTATATCCCTTAATCTTAAATTTGTTATTTAGTTTTTTTGAAAAGGTTCTTATTCTTTTATTCTGTCCTCACTGAAGACAGAAAACAGTTTGCCATATTACTTCTTACTTTGCGTCCTTTAAGAAAAGATTCAAGAAATAACTTAAGACTTACTAAATTATCTTAACAGCTTCTCCCCTCCAGAATTAAATGATCTGAATTCTTTGAACTTTTTCTCACAATCTCTGTTGTATTCTATTTTATTTCTGCTATGTCTTCTCTTCTCCAGCTCCCATATGATCCTAAGACACAACATCCTAGCAGGAATTGAATCAGTAAGAGGGGTACTTTTTCTCACCTCCAAAAACTTGGCCTCTTTGTAGTGGTTGTTAATAAAGGAAACAAAAGGTTCACTATCTATTCATCATTATAACAAATACACATGGGTAAACAACTTGCCCACAGCCAGCTTATTCCCTACTTTTAGCTCTCTCAGTTTACCCTTCAAAAGAAGCATTTCCTGTGCCATCTTATTGATCTATTTGTTTATTTCTACTGATTATTTTCAATGTATGCTTTGATCTTGCCAGACTAGTTCTCTCCTTTCCCCCAAAACTCTAGAAAAGCCTTAATTAAAAAGTTTTAATCTACACACTGAATGAAAATGGATTCATTTTCAAGATATTGTTCATAAAGAAAAAGTTAAACACTGTAGAGCCCAAGGCTGAGACCTACAGTTCAGCACTCCTGTCTTTCCTGGTCAGCTTGGGTTACTAAATTTACCCTGTTAGGCAACTGTACACCACTGTGTCAAGTTCATGTTAAATATCATGCTAAGATAGACTTGAGAGCTTGGCTAGAATCAAATAATTTCCTTAATCTATACACTTTAGAACATTTGTAGTATTTTGTTGATTTTAACTTTGGATTTTTAAATTTTTGAGGTAAGAATCTAGGCTTTAATAACTTTTCACCTTAATTAAGATGACTTAAATGTTGCATTATATTAAAGCACTCAAAACTGTTCTCCTTATAATAGACTGACAGTCATGACATGGCTTTAGCGATTATGAATGTGCTAGCATATCATTTTAGCTCCCTTTCATTCTTCAGTCACTGGAACAGATACTAAAGCCAAATACACATACTTTTCACATATATAGCATTGTTCTTGGTAGAATATAACTATCTCCAAAATTACATTCTACATTCCTAAAAGCAAATAAAACAAAAAAGTCTGCACATTTCTTCTTTAGTACAAAGCCTTTGAAAACAAAGTCATTCTGAAGTATGGTGCTCTACACTTACTTAGCTGTCTATTAACTACAGTCATATGAGATCTAGCTATAGGAAAGGAAGGAACAAATTAACAATAGTGGCAATACAATAATTTGAAAATTATATTTGCACTATATGGATTCAAACAAATGTTAGCTGATAGAGCTGCAACAAACCATACCATTACTTACTAAACAGTCTAATCAGTTTAAATGTTATATTATTATTATCATTATTATTATTATCATTAAGGAAATAAATACTCTAATACCAGTTATGTCCCATTAGCAATTTGTTTAGTATGATTACGCCCAAGGCCTTGTTACTGTTACCTCTTAGCTATATCACATGTGTTTATGTATTCTGTTGAGTTGTACAGGACAGGATACACTTTAAGAAAATTAAATAGTACTTCTCTACTAAGACATTTTTAGAAGACTAGAGAATCAACCAAAAGTGACCTTCCAAAATTTTTTTTCACATTGAGGGGCGCCTGAGTGGCACAGTTGGTTAAGCCTCCGACTCTTGATCTCAGCTTGGGTCTTGATCTCATTGGGCTCTATGTTGGGCATGGAGCCTACATGAAAAAAAATATGCAAAATTTTTTTCCACATTGAAAAAGGTAAGTTATACTCTTGAGATCAGAAATTCTATAGTAGCCAGCAAGATGTTAGAATAAACTGGACTTTAGTTTTAAAACATGTAGTTTTAGTGTTTGGTAACATCTAAAATCCGGATATTATATTTCTTAGTAAAATTAGCATTACTTCATCTGGTAAAGGAATAAATCTACTTACAAAAATTTAATTCCAAAGTTAGATTTGTAAATAAATTCAGAGCTCCTTTCTCAGTTCGGATTTTTTTCTCTACCTGAAGGCTGTGATTATCGACACTTAATTCTTACAAGAAGATCCTTAAGCACAGTTACTTTGAATCTGATTTTATTAAGATTTTTATTTACATTCATAAGATTTTTAGGAGGGCAAATTGATTTGATATAGAGGGGAAGCACCTACATAGTTTGGTCTGAAATAACTGTCTGAAAATTAACTGACTAAATTATAGTCAATGCAGGAACACTGTTTTAATTCATACCATACCCTGAGAAGGCACTAAGAAATCTGACAAGAACGAAGCCGCTAGGAGCATTGCCACTATTGTTTCATGTTCAGTAAACGTCAGAATTTTAAATACATACAATAAATTTACACTGCACCAAGAGCACCTGAAACACATATGGTAACATCTGTTCTAAGCTAGAAATACCCAATTTCAAATACTCTACTTTGTAAGTTCATAACTATGACGTAATAATGATACTTTCCCACACTATGCTGGGAGCAATGCCATTTTCTTGTCAATTTTATAGATTAATTTCCTTAGCTAATTCAACAACTATATAACATTTATCTACCTTTTAAAAAAACCGTGCTATACACAAGTACAATACGGAACTAGGCTTAATCACACTTTAATAAGAAAACTCACTTTTGTATTTTTTTTCTGTTAAAGGAAGAACAATGTGTTACTAGAATACTTTTAATGCAATGACATTTGTTCAAGATTATGAAAAAATTCGAATCCTTTCTCTCCAGATCATTTCCTTTCGAACTTATACAGTTTGTTTCATCAGCCCACCGAAAGAAAGAAAATTGAAGTGCAAAGATACTTGACCAGATGAGATAGAGAATGCTAACACGACTTCAATGCATGGAATTCCTGGTTGTTCTGTTCCATGTGCCGGTGCCAAGTCATGGCGTACTGGTGTGCACTAAACAGAACGCCAGATCAGTCCATTTTTACTAGGCTCAAGAAAATTCTCAATCAAAGCTTCAATGAGTTTCCTCAATTCCTCTTCTAGGAAGGCAGTGTCACTGAAGAGAAAGATGGGGAGTTTTGAAATTCTTGATTTTTACCACTTTAAATTTTGTTTAAATTGTTATAATTTTAAAAGGGGATGCTTAAACACTTTGTAAACCAAAAAGAAGTTCACTCCGTTAAAACAAAACAAGACCAAGGGGGGGGGGTGCGGGAATCACACGCAAGAAAACACCATGATCACAAACTTAAGTTGTACGGCATTAAAGGGAGTTCCTTGGTACATGATACATGGATGAGTTTCGGTATATCTAGATTTTTCTCCTTGGTCAGGCAATTTAATGGTCCAGAACACCAATACCAGGCATTATACTAAAATGGCTTCCTGATACTTTGAAGAATACTCAGTAGATATTATGGGATGATACAGCATGACTCAGATACAGAAGGGGGGTGGGACTAAAAAAATGAGATGCTTAAGAAATAAATACACATTTACAAGTATGTGCTTCAAAGTCATCACTGCTGTTGACCAAAACATGTCTAGGAAAGCCTCTTTTCAACTGCCTTCATGGTCATTTGTTATTACTTTAATAATCATCCTTTATTTTTAACCAAATAGAGCATTACCCTAATTTGGTTTCCTTTAAACTCTCTGAATGACTTTAGGACATCCTTTTTTGTCCCCAAAAGAAAATAAAAATCTCTTAAATGCAAAGGTTTAGAGACATACAAAATAATGTACCTTAGAATCTGAAGGCAATTCCAAAGCATCTCTTTCCCAAAATATACTGATCAGTGACAACATTATAGAAGGTACTATTTTAATAAGTGTAAATAGGCTTTGGAAGGCAGCTGTGCTCACCACTATACCACCAACGCTTAAGTGTAAATAGCCTTTGAATATGTTTATTAAAGTCAATTTAGTGACAATTCAGACTCTTAAAAGGAAATAAATTGGGCAGATTAAGTCAAATCATATTAGATACATGAAATGAATGTTTGAAAATAAATTATTTGTTGATCATTTCTTTAGGTTCAGCATCTAACAGTTAAAGCTCACAGAACCTTCCCAGTAATAAAAATCTACCAAAATCTTAAAATTCAATCTCCAAATGGTCCAGCTGCTTTGGAAAATAGTCTGGCAGTTCCTCTGAAGGTTAAACACAGAACTACCATGTGATCCAGCAATTCTCCACCTACATATGGACCCAAGTGAAATGAAAACATGTCCACACAAAAATTTGTGCACAAATGTTTATAGCACTGTTACTTGTAATGGCTAAAATGTGGAAATAACCCAAACGTCCACCACCTGATAAAAGGATTAAAAAAAAAAAGTGTAGTATCTATACAACAGAATATTATTAGGCCAAGAAAACAATTAAAAAAAAAAGAATTAAGTGCTGATTCATGCTACAACACAGATGAACCTTGAAAACATCATGCTAAGTATAAGATGCCAGTCACAAAGGGCCATATATTGTATGATTCCATTTATATGAAATGCCCACAATAAGCAAGTCGATAATGACAGATATCAACAACCTCGGTGGTTGCCGAGGGCTACATGGAGGGGGATGGCAAGTGACTGCTAATGGGTATGGGGCTTCTTTCTGAGGGGATAAAAATGTTCTAACATGGAATGTAGTTAAAAAAAAATGTGTAGTGATGTTTGCACAACTCTGAATATACTAAAAACCACTGAACTGTATGCTTTTAATGGGTAAACTGTACAGTATGTGAATTTAATCTCAATAGAGCCTATATATATATAAATATACAAATCTAAATATATATGTATATATATTTTAAAAGTCAATTCTCACCTCTGCTCAGGGGATGCACACATCTCCGCATAATACTTTATCTTTGGTTCTGTCCCACTTGTCCGAAGAGTAGCGACACAGCCATTTTGAAAAGTGAATGTAATCATTTGGCTGTTTTTACTCACAGGCAGTACCTATGCACAAGGTGAACAATGGCTTAGTTACACTCGGTACCTTTTTCATTTACAGGAGTTGTAAAATATACTCTACTTATGTGAGGTATCTAAAGGAGTCAAATTCATAGAAACAGGAGTACAAGGTCATTGGCAGGAGGTGGGGGAAGGGGGAAGTGGGGAGTTGTTTAATGGGTATGGAGTTTCAGTTCGGCAAGATGAAAAAGTTCTGGACATCTGCTGCACAACAAGGTAGACAGAATTAACACCAATGGACTGCATGTTCAAAAGTAGTTGCAGTGGTAGATTTTGTTATGCATTTTTTACAATTAAAAATTTGTTTTTTAAATTATAAAACACAAAAGATGATATACACAATAATTCATAAATATGCCATTTACTGAACATTTTATAATAATATGGCGTTGGGTTATATACCTTACATACATGATCTCCAGGCCTCAGCAACAATCTTCCAGAGTAAATACTACTGCCAATTTACTGACATGGCTCAAAAAGAGTAAATGATCTGGTCAAGTTAATCAGCTAAAGTGGCAGAGCAAGAAGTTGGAGCCAGGTCTATGTATCACAGTCCAAACTGCCTCTGCGTTGGCAAAGGGCTTTACAATTTCGAAGCACTTTCATAGACAGTTTATCAATTGTCTCCAAAGCAGACTGCATGTGTCCTAGAGGGCAGGCAAAATAATCCACTGACTGGGGTACAAAAAAAGTTTATATTTTTTACCTAAAAGTTAAAAAAGGAAATGAATCTTTACTGATGTTGAACACATGGATCCATACTAGTACTCCTTCTGTGAAGGTATCTTGGGGGAATTGTGGGGGTTGTACTAGGACAGAGGTGGTGCCTTTCAACAGGGGTCTGAGCCTGATCCTTTCTTTGAAACCCCTCCCTCAGTTACAGGTACTATTATACACCAGTTGCTTAAGACAGAGACCCTTCTCCCCTCTTTTTCACTCACAGACCATCAACTAGCAAGTCTTGTCTATTTTAGTCTTTAACTCAACTTTGTCCAACTCTCTCCACCACTACTGCTACTAGATTTAATTCGGGCTCCCATCATCTCTCATCCTGATTCCTGAAACAGCATAATAACTGAACTTCCTGCCTGGGAGTTTGCCTCTCTCTAACCCCCATAGCGTATATGCCATTCCTCCTCGAACTCCACACTACAGTGTAGAGAACTCTTGGTGGTTTTTTGGAGGAGAACATGCCTTCCTACTTCCAGACCTAGCACTTGGTGCTTCCTTTGCCTGAATACCCACTGTTCCTCCTATGTCTGGATAACTCTTACTCATACTCAGCTCACAGAAGTCCTCTAGAAGGTCTTCTGTAAGCCTCCCAGATCTGAGCAAGGGTCCTTCCTATGCTCTTCCATGGCACTTTACACACCCCCGGTCTGTTTCATTTTGTAAAGTAATCCCTGCTTACTTCCATTTCTCCACTAGCCTCTTGAGTGCAGAAACAGTGGCTTTGTCATTGCTCCTTCTCAGTGTGCCTACAAGGGCTTTGATAAATGCCTGTTGATAAATGCCACAGAGAGCAATCTGGAGTGTGAAGAAAACACTCAGGAGGTCTTTGACACTATGTGACCGCTGGGGTAAATTAACAATGTCTGTAGTACCTGCCTTACAAAATTGTTGTAAGCATCTGTGGAGAGCAGATAGAAAAGTACTTTGAATAAGGAATATCCTAAACCTTAAAGGGGGTTAATAGGAAAAAAAGCATCACACCAAGAACTACTCCTAAGCACAACATTAGTGCAATAAAAAGAAGCAAAAAATTTGGTTCATCTCATCAAGTAGTTTACAAAGACAGAAAAATAGATACCAACAACTGGGAATGAATATTTGCTGATTAGATGAATAGACATAAAAGGAATATGAGCTATATTCTATGCAAGAAATGACAGATATTCCAAAATATATTATGCCCGTAGCATTTGAGACAACATCAGCACATTATAAGTGGAAATTTGGTCTTATAATCCTAACAATAACCAAATACATATGATTAACAATTTATGGCATTTATTTATTTTTTTAGAAGATTTTATTTATTTATTTATTTTAAGATTTTACTTATTTGCCAGAGAGAGAGAGAGAGAGTACACACAAGCAGGCAGAGAGGCAGGCAGAGGCAGTGAGAGAGAAGCAGGCTCCCTGCTGAGCAAGGAGCCCGATGCAGGACTCGATCCCAGGACCCTGGGATCATGACCTGAGCCGAAGGCAGACACTTAACCAACTGAGCCACCCAGTTGTCCCTATTTATTTATTTGACAGAGAGAGAGAAAGCAAGAGCAGGAACACAAGTAGGGGAAGTTTGAGGGAGAAGCAGGCTCCCCACTGAGTAGGGAGCCTGATGCGGGGCTCAATCCCAGGACTCTGGGATCATGACCTGAGCTGAAGGCAGCTGCTTAAGGACGGAGCCACCCAGGCGCCCCAATTTATGGTGTTTAAATATTTGTTGAGCACCTACCACAAAAGCAGGAGCTTTGACAGGCACGGAGGTATGTCAGAAATGGATCTGACATGAACAACACAATGATAACAATAAAATAGAAAGTGATAAATGACAAGAGGAAGGCACAATAGATAATGAAACCTCAGGAGGAAGGTATCTAATTACGGGACCTGGAGGGTATGTGGAGGAGGTGATATCTGCCTGAAGTCTTAAATAATGGCTAAGGTGGGACCTGCCGCAGAGGAAGGAGAGGCAGATTGGGGAAATAGCTTGAGCAAAAACAGAGAGATTTTTATTTTCATTTCTTTAAAGATTTTACTTATTTATTTGAGAGAGAGAGATAGCCAGAGAGAGGAGGGCAGGGGTAGGGGGGTGGGGAGGGGGAAGCAGACTCTCTGCTGAGCAGGGAGCCCCGACTTGACTCTGGTCTCGATCCCAGTACGCTGGGATCATAGCTTGAACCAAAGGCAGAAAACTAACAAACTGAGCCACCCAGGTGCTCCCAAATACAGAAATTTTTCATAAAAATGTATGCATATAAGAAACTATAAGTTGCTCTATTTGGCTGCAGGTGTAGGGACTAAGGTTGAAAAGGGAAGTTGCAAATAGAAAGGTGTAATGGTGAGCTTTGAAACAACAGGCTTTTAGACTTTATCTTCAACATCACACATTCTCCCTCTCTCCGTCCCTTTCTCTTTTTGTCTAATTCTCTTTCCCACCTCCCAGGGAGGAGCATACATACACTTGGGGAGAAAGGAGGACAGGATCACAGGCAGGGAGCCTGTTAGTGGGATTATAACCGCTCTGAAGAAAAACAATGAATCCTAGTTTCAAGACATTAACAGGCTTGAACTTCCACTATTTTATTATAGTACAAAGTACTACAAATCATTAAACTTAAAAAAAAGGGGGGGGGTACTTACTGATTTCTTATTAGGCTGGCTGCTGTCATAGCCAGTGGTAACATCCCGTATGTGCAATATAGCAAACGTCCCACAGAATTTTGGATATTCTTTTGGAGAATCAAAATTGCGAAGCCTTTCAAATATACTTTTGATGGTACTTGGATCATAACACAAGAAATATGAAGTTTTTGAAATATGATAACCATATCTGCACAAAGATTTAAAGTGTTAAAGTCAGATTTCAGATAACTCTTCAGGAAAGTATAAAGATAAGCCTATTACAGTATTACGTAGAAAGTGGCAGTCTTTACTTCAGCTTTAGAACTTTTTAGAAAGGACTGGTTGTTTTCAAAAACCAAATTTAGAAAGCTAAAAGGAGGGCCCCCAAAATGAGATGTTTGGCAATTGAAATGAGAAATTCATAATAACAGAACTTACTTTTCATAGACCTTAATGAGCTGCTGTTTCAATGTTATATTCATGGTTTCCAGGTAAGCTGCCATCTCGGCAACGACTACGGCTGCACTCACCCCATCTTTATCCAAAACCGAAGTGCCACACAGAAAACCTAAGAATTAAAACACATTTTTTTTTTTAGATTTTTATTTATTAGAGAGAGAGAGCACGTAGGAGCAGGGAAGAGGAGTGGGGGAGAGAGAGAAGCAGGCTCCCCACTGAGCAGGGAGCCAGGACAAAGGTGGGGCTCGAACCCAGGACCCTGGGATCATGACTGGAGCCAAAGGCAGACAAACGCAGACACTTAACCAACTGAGCCACCCAGGGGCCCCTTAAAACACATTTTTTAAAAAGGGGAAAACTTGGGGCACCTGGGTGGCTCAGTGGGTTAAGCCGCTGCCTTCGGCTCGGGTCATGATCTCAGGGTCCTGGGATTGAGCCCCGCATCGGGCTCTCTGCTCAGCAGGGAGCCTGCTTCCTCCTCTCTCTCTGCCTGCCTCTCTGCCTGCTTTGTGCTCTCTCTCTGTCAAATAAAAAAATAAAATCTTTAAATAAAAAAAAAAGGGGAAAACTTAAGCCTAAAATAATTTCAATAGTTTTACATTTTTTCAGAAGAACCAATGAATTTAAGAGCCTACTAACAGATGAAGCCTACTGATACTGAAGGTACTTAGGGGACTTTTAAGTGTCTTCCCCCCAAGACCCCCCAACAAAAAGTGCATCTATATATTTCTGAGTTCTCTGTGGTTTTTACAACTCAAAAGACAAAACCAGAAGACAAAATTTCCTCTCCATAGAATTACTACACTTTAAAATATGCTCTCATTCAAATTTCAAAGATTTTAATATTTACTACATACCAATTGACTCCTCAAATGCAAAAAGAACTTCTTTCCCATTTTCCAGGAGGTCTTTTATCCTACTTCCAATCCATTTAAAACCTGGTAATGTTTCCTGAAATGAAGAGAAGGCCATTCTAAGTAAGTGACTCCTCATAGACATATAGAGAGAATGACCTCTCACTAAATTCATGTAACACTTTCATAGTGATCTTCTCTAATGGCTTTTGGTCCACACAGATTTATACCGTACTAAGCACATAGCCAGGAAGTGCTCAGATTCATATTGCCACGACTGATAACCTACTATTTATTGAGCACAGAAATAGCTGACTTACACCAAATAGAATCCAACATCTGTAAGTGGGGATCCAGACAGTCACAGAGTAACATAAATACATATATTATGATTATCTACTATTTATCAAGCATCATTAACAGGCGCTTTATATCATTGTCTCTTTTAATGCTCATAAAAACTCTGTTGCTGAAACACAGGCTCAGAGACTCAGTGAGTTTGCCTAAGACTATGCTGTACATAAGAGATGGAGCCAGGATTCACCTACACTGCTCCTCAGAAACTGTCCTTGGGTCTGTATTATAAGTACAATATAAGAGAACCTATGAAGCTTGTGATTTAGTCCCCTTGGGTTTTTAATGATGCACTTTCATCATTATCACAGCGTATGCTTAAACCAAGTGTCCATTACCATAACACCATGGAGTAAATAAAACCAAGAAAGTTACTAAGCCCTCCTTTTTTTGTTTTTGTTTCTGTTTTTTTATAAACATATAATGTGTTTTTAGCCCCAGGGGTACAGGTCTGTGAATTGCCAGGTTAACACACTTCATAGCACTCACCATAGCATATACCCTCCAGCCCTTCTTTATAATTAGGTCCGAGGACTTTTCATCTGATGAGCTACTATTCACTTTAAAGACATGAGCTATTGTAGAGTCAACAGAAACAGCATGTGATAGACACTGACTCTAGAACTCACCATTAGTAACTTAACGATTCCCAATTTACCTCTCTACTTCCTCAGTGGGAAAAAAATAAAGCTAAAACCTTTACTGCCATCCCCAGAACCAACAAAAAACACAAGGAAGCAAATTTATAATACTGGTCTTTAGGATCATGTTCTCTTTTGTGCTCATTATACATTTTTTTGCCATAAATATTAATGAGGAAAATGTTAACATTACCATAATTCAAAATCTTAGGCTTGAATAATTTTTCAATTTCTGCTCTTTAGCAATTTGTTGTTGTTGTTTTTAAGATTTTATTTATTTATTTGACACAGAGAGAGAGAGAGAGAGCGCACAAGTAGGCAGAGAAGCAGGCAGAGAGAGAAGGAAGCCGGCTCCCCACTGAGCAGAGATCCTGATGCAGGGCTTGATTCCCGGACCCTGAGATCATGACCTGAGCCGAAGGCAGAAGCTTAACCCACTGAGCCACCTAAGCACCCCTATTGTTTTTTTTTTTTTTTAAACATTATTTTTTTTTAAAAAGATTTTATTTATTTATTTGTCAGAGAGAGAGAGAGAGCCGAGCACAGGCAGACAGAATGGCAGGCAGAGGCAGAGGGAGAAGCAGGCTCCCCGCCAAGCAAGGAGCCCGATGTGGGACTCGATCCCAGGACCCTGGGATCATGACCTGAGCCGAAGGCAGCTGCTTAACCAACTGAGCCACCCAGGCGTCCCCCTATTGTTTTTTTTTTAAAGTAGGCTCTGTGCTGGGTGTGGAGCCCAACACAGGGCTTGAACTCACGACCGTGAGATCAAGACCTGAGCTGAGATCAAGAGTTGGATGCTTAATGGACTGAGTCACCCAGGCACTCTGGTATTTGTGTTTTTTTTTAAGCCTGAGATTGAAAGTTCTATTTCATTAAAACAGGTATAGTTGTTTTTTTTTTTTTAATTCAGCCAATTAATGTTAAGACCTATAGCTTGGCTGTGGCTCAAGAAAAATGCCCAGCGGTGACATCTGCACTGATATTTGACAAAGATGACGGAGGAAAGGCAATTTAATTGGCATCAATCCCAGAAGCTATAGAAATTGTTAGCTTAACTCTCTACGGCTCACGAAAGTTAATGGTCTGTGCTGAGAGAGAGTTATTACTTGTTTTTTGGATATAGAATCATTAGGTCTTAACTTACAATTTAGAAGACTAAGTTTCTTAAGACTGAACTTGAAGAGCCTAAATAATGGTCATGATTATTTTTTGGAATGGAGTTTTTGGGATGGAATGGATTATTTTTTGGAATGGAGTTTATGTTACTGATGAGGTCACTAGGTGCCAAATTTTCTTATTATGAAAACCAGATTTTTTTTGTATGGAATAATAAGCATTAATGCAATTTTTAAAGAATATCTTATCTCAGTTCCAGACATTCACATACTGGATGGATGGACTTGGCTCAAGGTGTCTAAACTGTCACAAGATTAAGCAAGTGTTAACATAATTAGAAAAAAGGGGAGGATTTTAAATCAAATCAATACAAATTACTTTTGGTGGGGAGGTGGCTTTAATGTATAGAAATTGATTTAGAAAAGTAGCACGCATATATTTTCTGTTCTTACTTCAAAATGAAATCCTTCTTTAAGTGCAATTGCCTTCAAAATTTTGGAAGAGACTGTGGTGGCTAACATATAAACATTCTTCACATCAGCATTTCTTGATGTATTTTTCTTCCAGCAGTCAAACATCCACCACCCAAACAAAGCTGCCAACTCATTCCCTGTGAAAACTTTCCAATGACCACTGTAGAGAGAATGAAGATTCAAGTCAAGACTTTTATAACTTCTCATTAAAATTTCTTGACACTTAGACATATAAATTACCATCCTTCATATATGAAAATCCAAAAGCTATTATATGAGATTTTTGAGAAAATGTTTAGGATTATTTCTAGCTCACCAGGGGTGAATTTAGGGTAGAAATGGCAACAATGTCTATTGAAAAATTATTACACTGTAACTTTTGTTCCCGTACTTAATGAAAGAAAAGTTATAATATGATGTCCTATCTATATAAGGACATTTGTCACAACATATAAGGGCAAAAATACACTGCAATCCAAAGGACCAAGATTAGAAAATGATTATATTGATAAAGCAATCTGTTGGGATATCATGTCATTTTATAATATTTTAAACAATATTTAAGGACTGAAAAAAGTGTTCATGGTACAATAACAAATGGGAAACAAGATATAAAAATATATGTAGCATGATAATAATTTTATAAAAACAAATATGTCTTAAGGAAGTGTCAAAATATATACCTAGGGGTTATCTTTGGATAGTGGACTTAACAGGAGATTTATTTTCTTATTTTTTTATTATTTTGAATGAGCCTGTAAGACTTAAAATCAAAACCTCTTTTTCAAAGCTTAAGCTTTTAATTAAATAACAGGCTTTACTTACTTCTCCTGAAGTTCTGCCACTGCCAGCCGGTCTGCATCAGGATCTGTAGCTAGCACAATTCGGGCATTTTCTTTCTCTGCCAGTCTCAAAGAAAGTTCCTGAAATAATGAGCCAAATCACCAGATTGTATTCCAGATGTTAAATTCAATGTTAATACTCCTACTTGTAGGCACTATGTTAGTTGACATAAATTTTAGAATGAATACAGTTTGACTAAATTTAGTAAATAAGCCTAGAAGTAGGGATATCCACCACAGAGATTTCAAATAAAACAGAATATATGGCTCCAATAGAAATTAAATTATGTCATCGAAGGTGGTTTCTGCCTTTGTAAGTAATTTTTGAATTGTCAATGAGTTCTATTTGATGAAGTTTAATACACTAATAATAATTTAAATAAAGGAAAAAAAATACCAGCACAGATTCTCCTTCTTCAGGATTTGGGCATTTAACAGTAGAAAAGTCTGGATCAGGATCTTTTTGTTCTGGTACTGGAATTGGAGGCTTGAAACCAAACACCTGAAAAGCCAACTGCACATAGTCATGTCCAACCCCATGGAAAGATGTATGTACAAATTTCAAGGTGGTCTTTGAGTTTAATTCCCTGTAAAGGAAAAGAGTTATTCAATTGATATCATTAAACTTGGTACTTATGGTAAAATTAAAATCAGCTATAGAGAAGAAGCTAAAATCTATTTTTTTGGATGAAGAAAAGATACTCAGCAAGCCAGCAGCTTTCTAGCAATAGCATTAGCTATTTATGGAATAGTTATGAAAATATGGAAATAAGGCAAAATCAAATTTTAGAGAAAATTTCCTAATCTCGTATAGAGAATACATATATTTAGCTATAACTTTAACAGTATTATTAGTAATTAGTAATTAATATACTATACAATTCATTTAAAGTGTACAATTCAATTCAATTTCACTATATTCATAGATTATTCATCCATTACCATAATCAATTTTAGGAAATTCTCACTATTGCCAAAAGAAACTCTACCCCAGAGCTGCCATCCCCTAACGTTCCCATTCCTCCTAGCCATAGGCAATCACTAATATACCCTGTTTCTGTCTCTATTGATTTGCCTTATCTGGACATTTTATATAAATGGAATCATATAATATGTGGTCTTTTGTGATTGGCTTCTATCACTGAGCATGTTTGCAAAGTTTATCCATGTTGCTGTTTGTATCAGTATTTCTTTTTACAGCTGAATAATATTTCATTGTATAGATATAGCACAGTTTATTTATCCATTCATCAGTTGATGGATATTTGGGTTATTTCCACCTTTTAACTATGGTGAATGGTACGATTTCACTATCTTTTTAATATAATGAACAGCCAACACATCTTTATCCCTGTTTCTTTTCTTTATTTGTTAATCTTCTTATATGGTAATGTTATCCCTATATTTCCATTGGATACCTGTGAAAACATATCTTTTTAAGATCTTCCATGTATCTTCTGCAAATGTCCTGCAGAGGATCTCTCTTCAGTGGGCTGGTATCCACTAAATTATCATTCCAGGAACCATTCCAAGGTTCCACACATTCTTCTATACATTTCAGAATTTCTTTATCATGAGGAGATGTGATCTGAGCACCAGTTTCCCAATAAACCTAGATGATAGGTAAATACAGCTATAAGTAGTTGAAATGTTGGCCAGATATTTTTAGCTACAGTAGAGATATTTGGCTTTACATAGAAGTGTTCCAAGTTAATTAAGTAGAAAATACCAACATGCGACTAATTTAATACCAAAGGATGTCCATGATAATGATTCTACAGGGACTCTTCAATAAAGTGATAATGTATTATTTTCATTTTTAGAAGTGTACTTTAATAAGAGTACAAGTAAAATAAAATCAGGGCATCATTATGACAACATATTAATATGCATATGCCATAGTATCCAATCATACTTTTAGATTTATAACTATATACTAAAGATAATCTAAGAAATCATGGATATCCATAAAATTTCATACTATAAAATTTTAGCATTAAGTAGTTCTGTAATAAAGAAGAAATTATTTTTCAGATATAAATTAAAGTAGAATACATGTCATAACAGACAGTGTCTATATCAGAAAATATAATTAGCATATTAATTATTATATATACACATTTCAGTATATGTGTTTTCAGTACTTAATGAACGAAAATACATTTCATTAAGCTGTCAGTTTGCCAAGTATTTTGATCAACAAGACATTAGGAACAGTTAACAAGAAAAAGTCAATAAAGTGTATTTCTAGAATTCATAGGATCTCAAATTTAGAAGACACTTTGCTTGGAGAATATCCATAATGACTTCTACCAAATATATGGCAGGACTACCCTCTTCTGCCTCCTGAATGAAGGAAAGAAGAATACATTTGAATATGTACTATGTACTAAGCTCAGTGTCAAACAAGATGGTAGACAAGATAACCTGAAAATTCTCACACTATAAACATTTTGAAATGTTAGCTAATGTTAGAAAAACATTATCTAAAATGCATAGGTCAGTTCATAAGAAGAAAAGGGAAAACTCCAGGCAGTGGGAAAAAAGGAAAACCAGAGTGATATAAGGTTGTGGAGCTGACACTGTGACTGCCTGGAGTTTGGGAACTGTCTATTTATTTGGTTTTTGAGTTGTAACACTCATGTGGAAGGTAGGAAATTGGAGACCTGAGACTCCCCCAATCCCCGATCAGTGGAAATACAGAATAGAAGTCCTGCGCATTATTATAGAAAGGTGTTGAGGAAGGATGTGTGTTCTGGGGTATTTTTAAAAACTTTCAAATCTGAGATCTCAGTTAATATAGAAATTGCTCCCAGTCAGTGAAACTCCTGGTTCCTGCAGAATTAAAAAACGTGGCGCCTGGGTGGCTCAGTGGGTTAAAGCCTCTGCCTTCGGCTCAGGTCATGATCCCAGGGTCCTGGGATCGAGCCCTGCATCGGGCTCCCTGCTCACCAGGGAGCCTGCTTCTTCCTCTCTCTCTGCCTGCCTCTCTGCCTACTTGTGATCTCTGTCTGTCAAATAAATAAATAAAATCTTTTAAAAAAAAGAAATTAAAAAACAAAACAAAACCAATAACTGCTTTGAGTGATGTTCCCACATCCCAAGCCACAAAAAAGACTCTATCCATAGGCCCTGAAGGTTCACCATGAAAATTTATAAAACATGAGAAAAAAGTCCTAGCCTTTGTCCTTGCCCATTTCTTCTTGCCTTTGTATACGGATGTGATGCCTAGAGGTATAACCATTATCTGATGTTCACACTTGAAGGAAAGGCCAAAAAAACTGCAGATAGATGCCAGGCCCAACAACAATGAGCTACAGAATCCCGCTAATAGCCACGTACCCTGGACTTAACTTCATGTGTGAAAAATAAGTTCCTATCAGCTTAAACTGACAGAAAAACCCATAAGTTTTCCAAATCTGTAGCAGAAAGTATCCCTATCTGATATAAAAACAGAAAAATCCATGCAACAAAATATACCCATGAACAAACTTTAAAAGAAATATTTGAAAGGGCCGCGTAGTGGCTCAGTTGATTAGACGTTTGACTCTTGATTTCAGCTCAGGTTATGATCTCAGGGTCTTGAGATGGAGCCCTGCCTTAGGCGCCACACTGAGCATGGAGCCTGTTTAGGATTCTCTCTCCCTCCCCTTCTGCCCCTCCCTTCCAATCCCATTTTCTCCCTCTTTAAAAAAAAAAAAAATCTTAAAATATGAAAGACCTATTAAAAATATTTAAAATGTTACTAAAGTATATAATAGAAGCCTTGAAAGAACAAAAAGATACATCCTGTTCATGAATGAAGAGACTCAATAAATATTATAAACATATTGAAGCTTCCTAAATTAATCTACAAATGAAATATGATACCAATAAAAATGCCAAAATAACCTTTTTCCCAAAATGGAAAAAATACAATAATATCATGCATGGAAAAATATAAATAAAGTCATGATATGGGGGGAAATATCTGCAAAATATTGAAATATTTTGATGATAGGGTATATTTGATGAGCAAGAGTTACTTTTTATATTTAAAGAGTTCCCACAAATCACTAAGAAAAAGAGCAATAATCCAAGAGAAAAATGGACAAAACCTTTAACAGACATCTCAGGAAAGGGAAAACAAATCTAATGCAAATAAATGAAAAGATGTTCTACCTTACTCCTAAAACAGGTGCAGATTAATCATAACACTCATCTATCTGATTGGCAAAGACCAAAATGATAATATGGGAGGTATGGGATAAAGACCTTTTACGCTGTTAGGGAGAGTATCAGTTGGTACAACCACCTCTAAAATAAAGAATGACAAGTTTTCTTTCATACTGCTTTGACTCAAAAGTTTCACTTCTAGAAATTTATGATATCGATCAACAATGCCATAGAAATACAATGTAAGCCACAAATGCAAGCCACTTACATAATTTTAAAGTTTTTAGTAACCACATTAAGATAAAAAGAAACAGGCATAATTAATAGTAATATACTTCATACAGCCCACCTATATCCAAAATATTATCATTTCAACACGTAATCAATATAAAATTAATGAAATATTTTACATTCTTTTTTCATAGTAAGTCTTTGAAATCTGGTGTGTATTTTACACTTTCAGCACACCTCAATTCAGACTAGTCATAGTTTAAATATTCAATAGCCATAGGTGGCTAGTGGCTACAATATTGGACAGTGCAGCAGATGAAAAAAATACAAGCAACAGCTAACATTTATTGAGCACTGGGCATTTTTCCTGCAAATCTCCTTTAATCCTTACTCTCACTCTATGACCTTGGTTCTATTATTATCCCTAGTTTGCAGATGGGGAAACTAAAGCACAGAGAAATGAACTTCTGAGTTGCACAGACAGGTTTTATTTCTTTATTTTTTTAAAGATTTTATTTAGGGACGCCTGGGTGGCTCAGTTGGTTAAGCGGCTGCCTTCGGCTCAGGTCATGATCCCGGCGTCCTGGGATCGAGTCCCACATCGGGCTCCTTGCTCGGCAGGGAGCCTGCTTCTCCCTCTGCCTCTGCCTGCCTCTCTGTCTACCTGTGCTCGCTCGCTCTCTCTCCCTCTGTCTCTGACAAATAAATAAATAAAATCTTTAAAAAAAAATAATAAAGATTTTATTTATTTATTTGAGAGAGATAGATTTTATTTATTTATTTGAGAGAGAGAGAAGCAGGCTCCCCACTGAGCAGGGAGCCCAATGCACGGCTTGATCCCGGGATCCCAGGATCCTGGGATCATGACCTGAGCCAAAGGCAGACACTTAACCTACTGAGCCACCCAAGTATCCTACAGTCAGGTTTTAAACCCAACCCAAAGTTCTAACTACTATTCCATACTGATTATATAAATCTACTTGCACATATGAACAAAGACATATGTAGAAGAACATTCTTTGTAGCACTGTTTATAAATAGCAGAAGATTAGAAACAAATGAACTGTTCACCGACAGAGGATTGCTTAAATAAATCAGGATTGTGGGGAGCCTGGGTGGTTTAGTCTGTTAAACGTTCCATTCTTCATTTTGGCTCAGATCATGATCTCAGGGTCATGAGATAGAGCTCCACATTGGGCTCCATGCTCAGTGAGATTCCTTCTCTCTCCCTCTCCTTTTGTCCCTCCCCCAACCCATGTGTTCTCTTCCCCACTGAGCAGGGAGCCTGCTTCTCCCTCTTCCTCTACTCCTCTCTGCCCTTCTCCTGTTCTCTCTCTCTCAAATAAATAAATAAATAAAATCTTTTAAAAAATTAATAAAATAAATCAGGATCTGTTATATAGACTTCTAAAGATGAATGAGGCAGACCTATCTCCCTATCAATTGACTAAGGGAATGATCTCTAAGATTGTTTCATACTGTTGTGTGAAAAAAGCAAGGTACAGAACACTCCATATAGTACTCTGCCATTTATGGGGAAAAAATGTGGGAGTCAGAGTGACAAATACACATATGATGACACGTGCTGGGGGGAAACTAAAACCAGAAACTGTATTTGGTTCTGAAAAGGGGTACGGGGCAGGTGGAGGGGGAGGAATGGGAGATACTTTTTACGTTTAGCTTTATACATTGTTTAACTTTCATCCTTTTTAACTTGTGCATATATTTTAAGAAAAAAAAAAAAAAACCTTTGAGGCTTTCCTATGTGACAAATATGTTCATTAGCAATGAACATCAAAACAGACCAAGTCCCTTCACTCATGAGTTTATATTGGGGAACAGGGTTGGAGAAGGTCAAACAACTCAATAAAGAAAACAATTCATTTTCAAGAAAACAGATCATCAGAAAGCGATAAGCTCTGTGAAGGAAATAAACAAGATGATGAGAAAGTCATTGAGGGAAGCCACTTCAGATAAGGTGGCCTGGGAAGGTCTCTTCAAGGAAATAACATCTGGACAGGAACCTGAAGGATAAAAATAAACAAATCTGCAAGATGAAGGCAAGAGCAATGCAAGCAGAGCCAAAACCATTTACAGAGGCTCAGAGATGGGAGAGGGCTTGGTATACTGGCAGACGAAGAAACAGGAAGAAGTGGGAGTGTGACTAGAATACAGTGAGCACAGAAGAGGAATGAATGAAATTAGGTTGGAGAGGTAGGCAGGATTCTGTAAACCCCAAGGTAAGGAGCTTGGATTTTATCTGGAGAATGAGAAGTCACTGTAGAATTTTAAGCAGGGAAGTAACATGACCTGTTCATATTTTCAAAGACCATCTGGCTGCTTGGTGGAAAATGGATTTTAGGGAGAACAATGGGAGCAGAGAAGAGACCAGCCAGGATGCTGTAGCTCTGAGAGAAGATAACCATGCTTTAGAATGGTGGAGGTAGAAGTGAGCAGAAGCAAACATATTCCAACATACATTTTAGATGTAAAATTTGTAAAACCTGTTAGTGAGTGAAATGTTAGGAGTGAAGGGAAAGGAGTAATCGAGAATAATTTTTGGTTTTTGTTTGGGTGAGTGGTAGTGTCCATCTACAGAGATGGGAAAGAATGGGAAAGGAACACATTGGGGCATGTATGTGAGAGGCTGTAGGGGAATTAAGACCTCTGTTCTAGAGACACTAATTCTGAAATATCTGTTAGACATCCCAATGGATTTAGGAGTCTCATCTGACGTCAGAGGAGATATCTGGGTTCTCAGCTCTCTTCGACAGTTGACTTCTTCTTCTTTGCAATTCTCTTCCTCTCCCTTTGGTTTTGATGGCACTAATCTCTTCTGGTCTTTCTCCTATCTCCTGCACTTCTTTCTTCCTTCCCTTGAAGTTCGTATTCCCTAGGGATCTCTTTTGGGCTTGTTTTTTACTATATACTATCTCTGGGCCACATATCCAAGTAAAAGACTTCCAAATACCCTTACATCTTACATGTCCTAATATATATCATGGCCCCCAAATCTGTAACTTTAGCTTAGATTTCTCCCCCATCAACAGATCTATATATCCAGTTGCCTACAGGATGTTGCTACATGGTTGACTCACAAATACCTCAAACTTAGTATGTCCCAAACTGAATTAATCATGCTTCTTCTTTGCCTCTGTGCATGGTAACACTACCCATTTAGCTAGCCAGGGGCCAAATCTCAAATTAGTATTAAATCTTCTTTTCCCCAGTAAAACAGAGCTCAGTGTACCTGAAGACCTCCCATACAAGAAGAAAAACAAATATAAGGTCATGCACTCATCACCCAGGAACCCCAGACACTGGCTCAATAATGTGCTGTATCCTCTCTTGCCAGTCTTCACCCTTCTCCACCCTGCTTTCTGCCATGGAAGCTGACACATCACATGGATCCTTTGTCCCAGTATAAGACTGGAGGGAAAGGAGAGTAAGATCAAGTTTCTCTTGCCCTCCTCCTGCAAACTCTCATTCATTCTTTAAGTTCTCAGTACAATATGACTTTGTTTCTAAAATGGTAGACGGGGTGGATTTGGGGATAGGATAGGGATACAAAGGCAGGAATATACTAGAAGCAAAAAGACCACTGAAGAGATTTTCATAGTCATACACATTGAGAAATAATAAAGGTCATTAGGGAAAAACATCCTTTGAGGGCTGGCCTGTCCCCAACATCTAAGCCTGCTCCTCAGCAATGAGAATATACTCAGCATATATTATTTTAAAAAATCAAAATCTAAATAAATAAACAAATAAACAGATAAAATAAGAACTGTGAAATAAGCAAATATCCGGAGTCCCAGGTTTACCTTGTATCCATTGTCTTCTTTGCGGTTGTGAGAAGCAGTAATCATCACACCTGCAACTGCTTTGAGCTCCTGGACTGCATATGGCTGAAAAAACAGTAATGCCATAATTCCATTTTGCTTTCCAGCTACTTACACATTTGATATAAGAATAACCTTGATTAAGTAACAGGAGAAGGCATTAAGACATAAACAGCCTATGACTTCAACAATCAACTCCAGATACACTGCCTGGGATATAGCTAAAGCCATCTAACTGTTAGGTCACCAGTAGCCACTTAGCTGTTAGACTGAATGGCTTTTTCCTCCTAGTCTAATTTACCTTAGCCCTATAAACTTTTCTTTTTTTTTATTTAACAGATATTTAAAGAACACTTACTATATGCCAGACTCTGAAAATATGAATTATGAATATAATCTTAAAAATGTTAGTGTTGGGAGTTAATTTAGGAATCACCTAATCTATCACATTTTACACATTATAAAATCATAAGGGAGAAGATTCAAGGGTAGAATAACATAGGTCTACTGACTTCCAATTTGAAGATCTTTATATATATTCCATGACCCTTATAACATATACCGGTCAAGTCACCATCTTCTCTCCCAAAGTTAATTTCCAGGTTAGATTTCCCTTTTCTCTGTAGTAGTTACTATTTGTCAGCCTATGATATCCCTCCTACCCCTTCTACCATCACTTCTGATTTCTCTTCTCCTGGCCATAGGGAACAAAAGATCCAGGTCTGACCAGAGTAATTTATTCCCCTGATGATATGATTCAGAGACTGGCTCATAACCACCCAAGCCTGGTCAGAGTCCTTCCCCAAGATGTTTCTTCTGCAGCTAGTCAAAGAGAATTGCCAAGGAGGACCGCTAAAAATATCTTCCCTACATATTAGAGTAAACCTACCTGTAATGAGAGAGGAAGGCTAACATACCGGAATTGATAGTATTTGGAATTGGCAACCCAATGGCAGAATCCTACAGACATGCTCTAGATTTCTGAACCCTTCCTGTTTTCTGTCATTCGTTAGAACTAATTGTTTAGTGATTCTTTCACTTCTTTGAATGACTCAGTATATTTCCAGTGAATCACTAGAATTGTTTATAGAGACGTTATCTATTTCTCAAATATTTGGGAAAACTGGCCTAATAAAATTATCTGGACCTGCCATTTTTAATTTGAGAAGATTAAAAACAAGTACCAGTTGAATTTCTTTAATGGTTATAAGTCTCTTCAGGTTTTCTATTTCTTATTAGTTTTGATGTATCAATTATTCTAGGAAATTGGCTAATTTCATCTAAGCCTTCACATTTATTTGCATTATGTTCAGAATACTGTGGTTTTCTTAATCTCTAGTATATATATTATGCTCCCTTTTAATTTATCGTATCTTTTTTCTTGAACATCTTTGCGAAAGTTTTGTCTATTTTTATTAGTCTCTTCAGAGAGTCAACTTCTGCTTTTAGTCATACCTGTTTTTAAAATATTTCTATTTAATCAATTTTTTCCTCAAACCTTCACTATTTTCTTTCTTTTATTTAGATTTAATGTTTTGACTATAACATACTAAGCTCTTTATTTTTTCATCCTCCCTTTTTCTAATATGTTCATTAAGGCTATATATTTCCCTTGAAGTATAGCTTTAGTTATAGTCCATAATTTTTGCAATTTACTATTTTCATTGTGGCTCAGTTTCAAATACAGGTAGTCCTTGCTTTGCACAGTTCCAAAACACATGAATTTCTGATACCATATTTTAGTTAAATAACACCCAACAATACAGTCAACAACAACACAATTTCCCAACAATGCATTCAAATTTCAGTTACCATGGTATATTAACTGTGAGAAACCGTATCAAGTGCAAACTTGCTAGCTCTTCTGTCCATAAATAATATGTATATAAGAGATCCGTCATGACCAGTGACCAATCACGTCACTCTGTTAAAGTCTGCCAGTGACTTGTGCATCTGTTATCAGCTCTCAACAGACAGCAAAGCATGTAGTTGTGTTGCCTACTTAACTCCATGGGATAGTTTGCAAAAATGGATAACTGAAAGAAGGAACTGGCCAAGAAAGATTAGAGGGTAGAAAAGGAACAAAAAGTGACAACAATAGAAGGGAAATTTAAATCAAATACAAGTGGAATTACAGAAGAAAATAGCTGGGAATGATGACATTGCTGTCATTCAAGAGATTTTCAATGTGCAACCGGATGAGCTTAGTGTAGGTGAATATATGGATGTAAGTGAGGAATGTGCTTGTGATGAAAAGGATTAAGATGTCCTGGGGGAAGTGATATTGGCAAAAAAAACTTCACATTAAAGGAACTCTCAGAGAAAAATCACAGCATTGAAAGTACCACGGATACACTATGGGAAACTGATCCAAACTTATAAAGGAATGTGACAATTCACCGAGAAATAGAAAGGATGCTCACTCATATTAAGTTATACAATGAGAAGCACATGTTGTTCATACTTTCTTTACCCATCTACCTATCTAGCCCAACATGGGGCTCAAACCCATGACCCAAAGATCAAGAGTTGCACGTTATTCCAACTGAGCCAGCTAGATGCCCCTGTCCTCTTCATACTCTTGATAAATTTTTTTTTACCAAGAAATAAAACACTTTATTCTCAATGTTTTTAATGTTTTAATTACAGTGTACTATATAAGTATTAATTTTACTATTTTTTCTTTTCCTTATATTTTTAACCAAGAATAGGGTATTCTTAATGTTTGGACAAAAAAACTTTAAAGTTCGCAGAACAGTTGTAATTTTCCCTTTGATTATTAAGGATCACTGTGCATGGTTTCAGCTGATAGTTATCTTTACAGTCCTACAATATCACACAAAGCAAGGACTGCCTGTAGTTTCTAATCTTCATTATTATATCTTCCTTAACCCAGGAATTATGTTTTAAAAATTCCAAACACATGGGGTTTTATGAGTTTCTTATCTCTGATCTCATTGCATTGAGGTCCAGAACTACGGCTTGATAAGCAGTTCTCTGGTATTTACAGAAATTTCCTTTTTTACCCTGCTTGATAAAAATGAATATCCTACCATTACTAAATACAGTGTTTACACACACACACACTCAGATCAAGCATGCTAATAGTGTGTCCAAATCCCTCCTCAGCCATTTTAATCTGCCTGATAAGCCAGTTTCTGGAAGAAGAGTATTAAAATATCAGACCATGACTGTGGACTTGTCATCTTGTTATAGATCAAATTCTTTGGTGGGTCAACACACGCTTGTTCAGTGAAAACAAATGCAAAATTTGTTTTCCTTCCTTTTGTCCTTCATATCACTTAATATAGAACTATAAGCATGACAAAGATTTGAATCCCAGTTGAATTAAGAAATCTTTTTAGGAGCAACAAAGTGTACAATCAATAACATGACACACTTACTACAAAAGGTGTAGGAACATATCTTGAAAAAAGGTACACAGGAACATCTTTGGCTAGTAAGACTGCAGCAGTAAGTTTAGCAAGTCTAAAAACAAACAGAAATTTCACTTAGTCCTTAGCTTACCACACAGTTTAAAACCCAACCCTCCACAAAATAAATGTTTCATATTGTAATTACTCTGAATATGTAGTAGCCTAATACAACAAATTCTTACAATCACTGGTTATTTAGGCTTCATGTCCCAACTTAAAAATGTTAAATAAGATTTTTTGAAAAGGAACTTAATAAGAAATAGAACTGATATTTTAATTTTTCTTTTTCCTCATTCATCTTTCTTTACCAAGAAATAAAACCTGCAAAAGGCAAAAAGAATGGAGGAAAGTGAATTAAGAGAATTCAAGAAACAAAAATAATTAAACCCTGAAAAAAAATATTGCTATCTCCTGATTATCTATGTGTGCAAATGCCCTAAAACTAATTAAATGTGAGCACAGTGAGAGAATACAAGTTATACGATCACTCCTACCTGATACTTGTGCCAAAATATTAAAATCATACCATAAACCATGATGTCATTCTAAATACTAACTCTAAATATTTAAAATTTTAATTCTGCCTGTAAGAGCGAAAGGTTATAATAGAAGCTTTAACATGCTTCCATTTCAGCTCTAAAATAAACATCAGCATGTGATCACATTTCTAGTTGACAGTTTCCTGTTTCAGAAATCCTACCACTAATTGTTTTTAAGGTTTTATTCCAGTCCAACTTAATCTCTGAAACAATTCACACTGTACCTCTGGCTGCTGCAGCTGCTAGTTACTTGACCCCGCGTGTCATACCCAACAACAAAGCCTCTCTGCTTGAAGTCTGAGAAACATCTTTCAAGGTATTTGTACATTCCCTGAAGCAGATAAACACAAAAGATTAGTTTCTGACTAATACCTGCATTTTCCACCATTTAAAATCCATTATTTTTATGTGATGTGTGTAGTTTATTGGCTCATAGGGAACTGGCTTCCACCTTGATGCTCGTGTTTACCAGTGTGGGAACAATACTGTTCAGTCCTCAAATCTGAGAGGACGAACATTTATTCCCTCAAGTGTCAGACACATTTAAATCCACAGAAATATCAATTAAGTAACTATGAAAGCCAATACGATACATAAAACATTAGGGAAAAAAGAAGGGATAAGAGAGTCAGTATGGTTAAAAAAAAAAAATTGTTAGAAGAACCAAAAGATATTGTTTCTTGCCTTATGGCTATGTAGACAACAGAATTTTGACCATTTTAGGCCCTGCTAAATCTCAAGACTGAAGCCAAACAAAAGATTTGACCTATTCATGACACAAACATTTTAAATCAGCAACATAAACCTTCATTAGAACATTTCTTTCTTCCTTTCTTCCTTTCTTCCTTCCTTCCTTTCCTTCCCTTTCCTCTTCCCCTTCCTTCCTGCCTCTTTCTCCTTCTTTTCTTTCTTTTCCTTCTTCTTCTTTTCTTTTCTTTTCTTTTCTTTTCTTTTCTTTCTTTCTTTCTTTCTTTCTGTCTGTCTTTCCTTTCCTCCTTCCTTCCTCCCTCCCTCCCTCTCCCTTTCTTTCATTTATTTTAAGTAACCTCTACACCCAACGCGGGGCTCAAACCCCCAACCCCAAGATCAAGTGTGCACATTCAATCAACTTAGCCACCCAGGTGCCCCATTAGAACATTTCTTTTTTCCCTTTTTTTTTTTTTCATTAGAACATTTCTTAAGATGGCTGATCCCATTTGCAATTCCTTAGTTCTAAAATCTCACAGAAAGAAAATTTCATAAACTAGGAAAATTTGCAGCCAATGGCGACAAAAAAAGAAACGAAAGTATTTAATACTGAAAACATCATAACAATAAATTAGAACCATTTAAGTGTCCTATGAATGATTTGCTAACTTTAATAAATGCTTTCATCTCTAAAAATAACACTTCAGATTGTATAGTCCTTTAAAACCACCTTCACAAATGTTGGCACATTTAATCGTTACAACCCCAAAAAGAAAAAAATGAAGATACCTTTCCTATTTTTGTCTGTCCTTCAACATCTTTTCAAAGAAAAGAGCAGACAGAATAGACTGAAGCTCCACTCAATGACTTGCCCAACGCCTAAATTCATCTAAATTTACTGAAGGCTACTATATGGCAGGCACAGCTAAGGCTGTATGTGACAGCACCATGAGGCCCCAGTGACTTCTGGACCCCTCTTTCAGATATAATTATTCTTTCCAACCTACTCCTGAAAGAGAACCTCAAACACCTCCCTTTTGGCCTTAGTCTATACTTTGTATTTGATTAAGCTCTTCTCTCCAGCTAATCTCTTAAATCAGGCAAAAACCCCAGCTGGCAAAACATCTTGTGATGGGAACCAAAACTACCTACCCCTCCAATAATGCCAGCAAGACCCTGCATGAGTGACCCCAAGACAATGATTGACCTGACCTTTCCTGCCCACCTGCACATACCCACTACTTTTGTCCTACACTTTGTGTATACAAACGTAGAAATTTTTTCAGCCCTTTGGAGACAGTCTTTGAGATGTTAAGTCCACTGTCTTCCTGGTGTTCCTTTCTGAAAGGAACTGAAATTCCTTTCTTGTTTCACCACCACTCTGTTTCTCTGCCTTTGGATTTTGTCAGCAGCAAGTGGCCGAACCTGGGCTGCTTAGGCTCTCCAGAGTCTGGTGCTCTTGCACCCCTGCGCTCTGGTTACACTCCCTGTGACTGTGGGTGTGAGTCTGTGGATGTGTGCATGCACGCATGCTTGCTATAGCCCACGCTGGTTAGTTTCACCAATTTATTTATTTCTAAAGATGATGCTATCCTCAAATCTCACAGAACTTCCTACTATTCTCTGGTTTAAAAATCTACGTTTGCTGGGCGCCTGGCTGGCTCAGTGGGTTAAGCCACTGCCTTCAGCTCAGGTTGTGATCTCAGGGTCCTGGAATCGAGTTCTGCATTGGGCTCTCTCTCAGCGGGGAGCCTGCTTCCTCCTCTCTCTCTCTCTGCCTGCCTCTCTCTCTACTTGTGATCTCTGTCTGTCAAATAAATAAAATCTTTAAAAAAAAAAAATCTACCTTTGCTTATCCCCATAAACCTAGATTCTGAAAAGGGCTAGGACTTAAGAATCAGATTCCATTAGGCTTTTCCACTTCACATAATGGAATCTCAACTCTAGTAACAATTTACATTTCCATAGAAAATGATTTTGAAACACCTCCTCCAATCCTTTTAGTAAAGTCAAGGAATCTTCCTTTATTAAAAGCCTATAAGGAAATAAATTTATTAAAAAGAGTGAGCTGACACATCTCTAGATGAGGGAAAGAAAGGAGACGGGTGCAGAAGTGGCACGTATCCTACCTATTTAGTCATCTTGTCGTCTGTTCTTCCCCATCCCCTGCATTAGCCTTTGCCTTTAGAGAATTCCCTCAGAACGAGGCTAAGAATGATTTACTGTTGACGCTATTGATTAGAATTATATCTTTATATCTACTGAGCAATCCTCTAGTCCAGAACTATTTTTAGTATATGCTAAATGCATTTTAGCCTCAAAAGTATACAATTCCTTGAAGCAGTAGGAATGATTCACTAGAAAAAGAAAGTAATCTCTTTCTATGTTGCATAAAAATGGGGAGAAATAAATTATATCATATCATAAGCTGTTTTAAGGAACTCTCATGGACTATAAGAAACAAACTGGGGGTTGCTGGGGGAGAGGTGGGCGGAGGGGCAGGGTAATTGGGTGATGGGCATTAAGAAAGGCATGTGATGTGAAAAACACTGGGTGTTATACACAACTGATGAATTATTGAACTCTACCTCTGAAACTAAGGACGTATTATATGTTGACTAATTGAATTTAACTTTAAAAAACCTCTCATGGATATGGGCACTCTTAAAGAACTCTCATGGATATGGAAAACCATGTTAAAGGGAAATATTTTTAACTACATTTTCCAAATACTCTGGTTAATCTTTATCAATGGCCATATGCCAAAATGAGTAATTCTCTTTTTTCTAAGTTTGTTTCTTTCTATCAGTTGGAAATGTCAATATCCATTTCCTGATTTCAAATGCAAATTAACAATGTCAAGAGTTTGAATATGGTCACCAAAAGAACTCAATCAGAAAGTTAGTCTATAACCCTGAAGATACACAAATGCCTTCTAAAATAAATCTTATGCAAGACCAAAGATCAGGATTTATTCCACATTTTTTACTTAAAAAAGTACCTTTCTAGATATAAAGTTTGTTTTTGTTAGAAAGGCACAACCTAATTTAGAAAGCCAAAAAATAGTGTGATTAAAAAGTATACATATAGTACTTTGTAATTCTTACCTGTGTTGACTGTATTACTGTAAGGTCATTAATATAGCAAAATCCTGCCCCCATAGTAGAACGAAGTCCTGCAGTCCCAAAAGTCATTCGGCAACAAAGACGATCCCGGAGCTCCTTGTTCATCCCATTCCGTAACAGATTTTCAATCTGCTCTTTTGTTTTGGGATTCTATAAAAAAAAGGTATTAAGACTTAATCAGGATCACAAGCAGGGTCCTAATATGAAGCCCTTCTGAGGAGCCAGGAAGTGTTATGTATATATCACAAGGTTCTAGACACACTATAGATTCCACAGTGCTAATGATCAATATTAGTATGTATAATAAAACAATACCTGGCCCTTTACAGAGTCCCCCAAAGAGCCAGGCCCTTACTGGAGTCCATTTACATATCTCTAATTATCACAGCATTTTTTGGTAATACTATTCAAGAGTTTTTTTAACAAATTGATAAACTTAAGAGCTATGAATCCAAAATAAGCCTCTTAGTCAAAAAATAACATTAATTAGAGTCTCTAAAGTGTTAAAAGAAATGTGGAAGCTATTGGGTAAAAGCCATCAACAGACACTTATCAACCACTTCCCAAATTTCTGTGATTCAAAGTGACCAAATAAGTGTTCCTGCTCTTTAAAAAGTCACAGAAAACCACTCAGTGTATCTACAGTAAAGATGACCATGAAATGGTCTTAGATATTACATGTGGACTTAGATAAGAATGAGAATGAAGATTCAGTCCAAACTTGGCTTGCTGAGCAGGATACACCAACATCTACATTTTAGAATTCTGTGTTTCATTATCACATCTTTTACCTTATTTTCATAAAGCTCAAGGATGCCCCTGACTGAAATAGTACTTCACAAACAATTAACTTCAAATAGAAATGTAATAAAAAATTAGAATAAAATTTGTAGGGATTTTCCAGTATTTTCTTTTTAAGAGTCAGAGTCAGATATTACGAAAATAAAGTGAACCACAACTTCTCCCTTCCATACTTTGTGTAGTATGGATTTAGTCCATACTAACAACTTAGATCTTCTACGTCTATAGCCTATACAATAATGAATATTCCGAATGATAAACCAAGGTACCTACAAGGTGCTAAATATGAGAGTATATTTGTACTTGCAAAGAAATAAAAACATTAATATATATTTAAACAGAAAGGGGTCACCTGGGTGGCTCAGTGGGTTAAGCCTCTGCCTTCGGCTCAGGTCATGGTCTCAGGGTCCTGGGATTGAGCCCCGCATCCGGCTCTCTACTCGGCGGGGAGCCTGCTTCCCCCCTCCCCCTCTGCCTGCTTCTCTGCCTACTTGTGATCTCTCTCTCTGTGTCAAATAAATAAATAAAATCTTTAAATATATATATATATATATCTCACATAAAACCTTAACTCAAGGAATCTCCCTTTTATAAATAGCACACACTAGCAAATACACAGACTATATAAGAATATGAATAGCTATTTTTTTTTTCAAGATTTTATTTGAGAGAGAGAAAGAAAGCATGCCATGTGTACAAGCCAGGGAGGGGCAGAGGATCCTGAGATCATGACCTATGCGTAAGGCAGACGCTTAACCAACTGAGCCACCCTGATGCCCCAAAATAGGAATAGCTATTAAGATAAGAATCTAAACAATAAGATTACCTGTGCTACTATTTATTATTCTATTATTCTAATGTTTAAGATACCACCAGATTTGATAGAGGTCAAAGAGACTTGAAGAGGGCTAACACTTAAAAACAAATGTAAGGGGCGCCTGGGTCGCTCAGTGGGTTAAGCCTCTGCCTTAGGCTCAGGTCATGATCTCAGGGTCCTGGGATGGAGCCCCACATTGGGCTCTCTGCTCAGCAGGGAGCCTGCTTCCCCCCCTTTCTCTCTGCCTCCCCCTCTGCCTACCTGTGATCTCTCTCTGTCAAATAAATAAAATCTTAAAAAAAAAGAAAGCATAAGGGGCGCCTGGGTGGCTCAGTGGGTTAAAGCCTCTGCCTTCAGCTCAGGTCATGATCCCAGGGTCCTGGGATCGAGCCCCGCATCGGGCTCTCTGCTCAGCGGGGAGCCTGCTTCCACCTCTCTCTCTCTGCCTGCCTCTCTGCCTACTTGTGATCTCTGTCTGTCAAATAAATAAATAAAATCTTAAAAAAAAAAAAAGAAAGCATAAGAATGGCAAAAATTAAACACTAAAAACACCTGCATTCTGTAGAGGGTACATGACAGTGTCACATAGTTCATGACACTGAAAATGGGGTAGTCCTGGGGGACCTGACTGCCTTAGTCAGAAGAGCAGATGACTCCTGATCTTGGGGTTGAGTTTGAGCCCCACACTGGACACAGAGATTACTAAAATTAAATAAATAAACTTAATTTTAAAAATTGGGGTAGTCCTTTTAGAGTTTGCAGCCACTATCAAAATTTAAACTGCATGTACATTTTGGCCCATAAATTTCTCTGTCCACAGCAATATCTTCACCCAAACAAAAAGATTTATTCATGTAAGAATGTTGATTGCAGCATTTTACTGGTAGTAGCATTATTACCATTGCATTGATAAAGAACTTAAGATTTAGAGAGGGAGCCTAGTAACACTGAGCAAATATTAGAGGTCTAGACAGGATTTGAATCCAGGTTGGTCTGGCTCTAAATCCTATACCACCTCACTATAAATAACAAAACAATTATGTAGAGCAGGCTAATAATGCTTCTAATAATAATAAACTCCAACTATAAGGTAAAACATTATTCTTTTTAATTACAGCTAAATAAAAATGATCTACCAGACATGAATATTACTAGGTTACTGAGTACTTGCTAATGTTTAACTGCACAGCTACTAGAGTAGGGCCTAAAAATTCTATTCTCTGTTATAAACATCACAACCAGTCCTAACCTAATTCCTGGTTCTGAAAGAGCCTGTAAATTAGAGAAAAATAAAAATGGATTAAAAATCATAATGCATTAGACATAAGTATATTTTTATTGTAAATAGTACTAAGCGATTATAGTGGCAGGCATATGAAATCTACTTTAGGTTTCTCCACTATTTCATAGGTAGATAATTTTAAATTAGATATTGATGTCTCAAATGTTTTAAAATATACCTAAAGGGCTCTCTATGTAGCCATGATTATATTTTCCATTCAGATGAATTTGTATTTTTTTGTTGGTTTTTTTTGGTATTTTGTTGTTAAAATCTTCAAATGACTATGATTTTTATAAGCTATCATATATGAAGGTTCTAAAGAACTACAAATTATTTTTAAATATTATTTCCACAGAGAAGTCAGATGTATTAAGTGAAAAGCAGAAGTATGTATAAAGTGTTTTAATCTGTGTAAAAAGAGGTATGTGTATACTTATATATCATTCCAGAAATACTCCATGCAAATGTAAGAAACTAAAAATAGTGATTATCTCTGATGGGGAAACCAGGAGTGAGGTCTGAGGTAGGTAAGTGACTTATTTTTATTGTACAGCCTTGGTACTGTTTGGATATTTTATGGATGTCTTACTTATTTTATGGTAAAAACTAGGTAAGTATCTATGATCGCTGAGGGAAAACTACTTGTGTGTCTACTTTTTACCTCACAAATTGTTCTTTTTAGAACAGCACCCACAGAGGGCTATTAATAAAACATACATTGGATCTTCTTCAAATACAAATTATTGTTTGCTTAATAAATGTGCTCCCTTATTTACAACGCACTCATTACTTGAGAGTAGGAACAGCCTAATCAGTCAAAAGAGAAAAAAAATGATTCAACTGGTGTCAGCCATAAAGAAAGCATCTCTAAAATTATACTGTAAGTCTGTGGAGAAGTTATATGATGTACATACTTTTTGATAATGCACTTGTTGATCTACATATAAAATGAAAATTAATTATTTAGAAAGTAAATGCACTTAATCTGAACTAAATTTGCTCTTAACTAGTATATTTTAGAATCCTAATAATTTTAGTACCCCAAAAAAGTAATCCTGAAGAAAATCCAAAAAGATTTTAGTGACTGCTAGCATTTTCTATACTTCATCAGGAGTAAAGCTGATTGTTTAGTAGGAAATCAGTAAGCTAAAGAGTACAGAATTAAAGCCATGCATTATTTTCAAATTTTACCTGTTTACCCAAAATTTTCCTTTAGGTTCTAATCCTATGGATTGCTGCAACTTTATATGGCTGAAATGAAGAAAAGAAAGTATCTTCTTACATAAAACTCTGTGGAGTTCTGTTTTTTCCATAGTGTAGTCCATAAGGCCCAAATTCAAAGAAAACATGAAAGAACCGATTTCCACACACACACACACACACACACACACACAAGTGGTACTATACACACACACACACACACACACACACACACACACACACACACACAAAGTACCTCTTCTAACAAACTTCTTACAAACTCTCATAGATGTGAATAAAGCTATATACCAGACCAAAGTCACTCCAACCCTGCCTGCCATGAAATGAAACTTATGAAGGATTTTTTTGGACTCACCCAAGCTTTTCTGAACCTATTCCGTATGTAATTAGAGGGTTTCTGTATTATTTATGTGTAATAAATGTAACTATGTATAAAAGGATGTAAAAGTAATTAATCATCATTATATAAAACAAATCAAGTTTGTCAATGAGGAATTCACCTATAAATCTTAGTTCCTACTTCTTTTATAAACCTAATATTTGTATAATTTTTATACAACTTGAATCTACTCTATTAATACTCTAGTACAAAACCTAACAGCATAAAAATAATTTAAAATGTGACCTTCATTGTTTAGAAGATTAGAACAGATCTAAAAGAACATAATATATATTCACAATTCAAACCCTAATATTGTTATATATATATAAAGATGAGGCAATGGACACTGGGGAGGGCATGTGCTTTGGGGAGCACTGTGACTTGTGTAAGATGGATGAATCACAGACCTGTACCCCTGAAACAAGTAATAAAGTAAAAAGAAAAAAAAAAGATGAGGCAATATACAAAATTGACTTTTTAGTGGCTCAAATATATCTAAAATTGCAAAGCTACAAATACCATTTTAAAATTTTACTGACAGAGGCTGCTGTCTAAACAATAAACACCCATTTTATAAAACTACAGAGAAAAAATATTTAAGTTTATTTCTAAACAGAAGTTAAAATAGGAAACGGCGGTCTGAAAAT